TCCTATTCACCGCTAAATTATCTTAATTCAAGAAAAATGCTGGATGTTTACAGTTGTGAGATAAATATGCCAGTTCAGCTCAGACGTTATCACGCGTATTCTCGATGAGCTTCAGTGAAACTGTGGAGGGTCTAACACAGTCAATAGTGAGATGGTTCCAATTTCGCTAAGCCTGCCGTGTGATGCGCGCGATAGCGGGCGAAGCAAAACTGGTATTATATATGTAGCAACCACACGAACCGTAATTCTGCCTCATCGACTGTTACGACCCCAAAATCTAGAAATTCCCTTTTTCTCAAAGCTCATCCATAGGGATTGTCGTGAAAACGAAAGTGACAATTATTAAGTTGGCATCCTTCTTGCAGATGAGATGAGGCCTAAGCCTATACCAGGGGACGGGAAGGCTGTGGAGTGGGTGAACCACTCGCTCTGTGATCTGTTTGAGAATACAGAGCAAGTGGTTTTCCCACCCCGGCGTCCCCTTCCCCTCCCCTCTCCTGAGCTAGAGATTCGCCGAGCTTCGGCGGCCTCAAATAGTTGGCCCTCCCACCCTTCGCAATAAAATATGCTATTGATTTTTCCTTTCTTTATCGTAACTTTACCATGCTCGTAGGGCCATGCGATGGGTGTGGGAGTGGACGCCGATCAGACACGAGAGGGTGCCTCGGCAAATCGCTCGAATCAAGCCAAAACACGCAAGGCGCACATCCTATCCAGCACTCCGCTATGGTGAATTCCGAAGCGCACCGCCCAGCTTCCCACGTCTTCTCATCGCCGTCGTCGTCTGCTTCGTTCTGCACGGATTTTGGCTTACTGTTCTCATGAACCTTGATTCTTCGTGTCTCTTTATGAGTTCCCAGCACTGTCAACACATTTCTACAAATTCTCAGTTTCTGTAATTGTATCTGCTTCGATTCTCTGAATAAAAAATGTTGCTTTGTGATTTCTAAAAATGTCCAACAAATAGCCGACACTCTGCGGGTAATAATGCTTGCAATGTACGCGTCAGATGGTCCAACGGCGCGATGTCGCGCGCACATGCGATTCAAATTCGAGCCGACTTCCGGCGGCTGACGAGAGTTTTGTATATTGCGTTTAATGTCGCTGTTGTTTCGCGAGAATTGATGCAGGCGCGTTGTATATGGCAATCACAAGGAGCACGCACCACCGCAATAGGGCTCATATTCATACTGCAACCGAGTGCGACGTCCCGTGGTGACTTTATAGGGCACTTCATGGCCCTAATAATGCGTCGACAAATGCATGCCCATAAATAAATATGGCGTTCAAGCGTTCAAGCGGCACCGAATCAGAGTCCACCAACCGAGCGCCGCGTAGTAAAGGGTCCCGTCGCGCGCTGCCGGTCGGCCGCGGCAACGATGCGTCACGTCACTCCGGAGAGGTGGGGTGCTAAACTTAGTTGGGGGGGCACGCGGCGGCGCGGCAGTCTGCTCGCCTGGCATGTTCGGAAATCCGTGGGCCAGGGGGAGTGTAGGCAGTCTAGGGGGTGGGGGTGGGGGCAGTCACTTGACATGCGTGAAAAGCTGGAATGTTCGAGTTTACACTGTCTCGCTCGAGAGAGCCCAGGTGAGCAGACTGCCGCGCCGCCGCGCGTGCCCCCCCCAACTAAGTTAGCACCCTTTCGGCTTTGGGACGATGCCACGTCATCGAACTTCCCGCTGCTTGTTAATCAGCACTGTCCGCGCGCTCTAATTGTTGAGCGCTCGTGTCCGACACTCCACTCTTCACAACCGACGCCATGATCCTTAGCGCAGATGGCCCCTAGTATCACATGATAATAGAAAACTTCATGTCCCCCGGTTGCGTTGCGGGAGACTTCCCTCGAATCCCAGGTGCGAGAGGTAGCATAAGAGTTTCCCGCCCGTAACCAGGGTCAACCGTCTTTCCTTCTCCCATACCTTTCTCCGCCGGTTTCTGACCAATAAACGCGCTCCTACGACATCGCGTGACGCAGCCGCGAACAGAATAGCTGAGTGAGCTCCAATCTTCTTAGTAAAAAAAATTTTAGGAGGGGAGGGGGGGAACTTGGTACAGAGACCCCCTTATAAGAGAGGGCGTAAAATATAAATGTACCAACGCGAAGGTCACCCTGCCACGCACTCTCGTTAAGCATCTTCTAAGACTGAACTCAGTTCCAGACGTTGTAATTTACTTTGCAAAAGATCGATCATCTTCTGTCATGAACTGAACTCTGGAGAGAATCGTTCGAGGGATGATGTATGGGGACATTTCTTCGCCCAAGCGAAACTGACAGTCTCCCAATACGTGGTCTGACGAAAAAAAAAAAAACAACTTTCACCTACCTCTAGAACCAGTTGTGCACTTTCATCGATGCAGTATCGACCCTGCGTGCCCTCTCTCATCTAAATAAGAACTTAACATCTAACTGCATACACCTGGTAGATAAAAATTTTTATTAGTACATCCGCATGAAGACAAAAAATAGAAAAAAGAAAAACATCACATCCACCGATAATGTTGAAAACGACAGATGAGGGTTTCATGACGCTGATACCCAAAAGACGCGCGAGAAAACTGAATCCTACAAAAAATTGAGAAAATATGCACCATCGCATGCGCCTCATTGTTATCGTCGTCGAATGCCTCTCCAATGTCAAGAACGACATTATCCACATGATCATCACAGGAATGGAAGCCCGATTCGTAACGATCCGTTAACCAAGTCAATGACACAATTTTGCGTGTTAACTACAATATCCCACGGAAGAAAACAAATATGCCCACGCATAAACCGCGGCGAAACACCCTCCCGGCGCATATTGTCCCCGAATTGATCCATATATTCCGTTTAAACACCAAGCAACAGTACACCAGCTGCAGTCGTAAGACGGAGCCGAAGGCGGCAGGAATATTCGTTACCATTTTATTCTATATTCCAAAATAACGTACATTCGATTAAAAGAGCATTAGCGTTACGATGAGTGAATGTGATTTACGACTTTGAGAGTTGGTTCGAGAGCCAGTCCAAACCTTCGTACAGTCCATGTCCTTGGGTGGCGCAAGTGGCTTGGATATACCACTGAAAGAAAACAAAAATAAAAAAAAACGTGAGAAAGCTTTCTTGATGTAATACTAAAGAAGATTCCATAAGAAACATTCCAAGGAGAAAGCGGAGTTTAATTTATCACGTAATTTGCCTAACTCTTGGAAGCAGGTCTTGGATGCAACTTTTGGACAGAATTAGGCACAACACAACGGGATTATTTCACTCATACCCCTCAAGCTGAAATATTATTAAAAGTTGCTTTGAGACAGAAGGGTAGCCTTTAGGCTGCCATCAGAGGGGCCAATCCCAAGGAAAGGTTGAGAGCAGCAGAAAGAGCTGACTTACAAAACCTTTACGGAGATGTTCACAAAAAAAAAAATCGAACAAAACCATGAAATGGCTCACCCTAATAAATGGGAAAAAAAGCTAAAATGAACCAGAGCAAATTCACTAGTAGCTGCTTTGAAATGAATCATGTAAAAATTATGTTTCAATGATTACTGCTATTGAAGCAGTAATCACTGAAATATGATTCCGAGTAAAAAATATAAAATATAAAAATAAAATGACAATGAGAATATGAGTACAAAAAACAAACGCGAGCCATATAAATTATTAATGCTTCACATATGTAAGGCGTAAAGGCGTGCTAACATCTGATGCTAAAAGAATGCTCGGTTACCATGCACGAAAAGAAAAATACTCATAATTCCAAAAGATTAGCGAAGAAAAGGGGGTATACTACATTAAACTTGCCGCAATTTAAGGCACATAATTGAATTAGGGAGCTTGGCACAATCCAAGCTAATCTTAGCAAACCCAGCTCTGCATTATGAAGCATCTCTGCCCGCCTTCAAATTTAAAAAAAATCGAGCTACACGAGAAATCATAACAATGAAATGGGTGAACTCAAACATCAATTCTGTCAACAATAACTGGTTTTTGAAATTGGCATTTCTTGCAAAGCATCACAATCTTAAGAAAAAGCCTTAAACCAAGAGGGCAGAAAATCTATTTAGATCCAGCGACACTACTGAGAACCATTACGCTGTGTCTTCTGACGTTTGACTTATCGGATCTTTTACCTCAAAATCAATGCTTACACCATGCCTTGGTTCAATAAGTAGAAACATTATCTCGCGCGGAGATCTAACCAAGATATGTGGCCTGGACAGGCTGTGCGCGAATACATTTACAAAAACAAACACGAAGCTCAGAGTGGGCGTTCTATAAAGGAGTTGTGGAACCGCCTTTCTAGAACATTTACTACTTGTACCGCTGACAAGTACGAAAAGGAACCAAAAAACCCAGAGAGCCTTTTCTTTTTTTTCTTTTTCTTATTCACAATTTAAGACTCCAAACGAAAATAACGGTGAACGACGGCTCACGGCAACCTAAAGCAATTAAAAATCATTACCTGTCGCGAACGTAGATTGTGCAGGCCCAATTTATCCGTCAATTCAGCAGCGCTCATAGCGTTAGGAAGATCCTAAACATTGATGGTTTAAAAAACACTGCAAAACCACCATGCGTACAGAAAACTCGCGTCACAAACGAAAACGGAAACGAACCTGTTTGTTGGCAAACACAAGGAGGGTTGCATCCCTCAACTCGTCTTCATTGAGCATCTTGTGAAGCTCTTCGCGCGACTCTTCGATTCGCTCGCGATCATTAGAGTCCACCTGTGAGCAATTTAAAAGTAGGAAATGGTGTGAAAACGCATAAATAATTGCGCCGAAAAGCAACAACATCTTGTCGATTGAATCAAAAATCACTGACGTAACGGCAATGGAAAAGTTTGCCCAGTAAATATTGCGAAAACGGATTTCAATCGGTGGAAATTCTTACCACAAAAATTAAACCCTGAGTGTTTACCTTTCCATAACGGTGAAGGAAATATTCTAGTCATTCGAGCTTTCCACGTTGAAGGTCCTGAAGAATTATTTCGATAATTCGCTCAACATTATGATAGATATTTAACTACCCAAGCTCCAATAAAAGAAGCAATAAAACCACGTCGCAATCCTCACCCGATCGTCGGAATCGATAGTCAAGATTTCTCCAGCCTTCGCCTGTACGAATATGGTGTTTTAGCCAGCCGCATCGAGACGACCATAAGAATTCTACTTTACACACGAGGAGAAAAGGATATCGCGATTTAAAGCTCAGAAAAGACTTCATCCACCTACACAATCTCAAGACTGGCTACCACACCCCATTAACCTTCCTAATATTTCTATTGAAATTAGCTCAAAAGCATTAGCAGAATAGTTTCTTGAAGCACATAAACCAAATTATACGTGATCTCGAAGGAGAAGACCTGATAGAGATCAATTTGACAAACACTCCAAGGATCAACAAGGTTTGCACATGAACCTATTGAATTCGCAGTTTCAAAAAGATATCTCACATATGGGTGATTCACACATCTCGATGTATATTTGGAAGTTCTCATGAAGAAAAAAGCTGGTGCTACAGGACCCCAAAATTTCGCTCGTCAAAAGTGTATCTGACGAGAAACTATGTCTAATGAAAGCCAGCGACGCAAGGAAAATCATATTACATCATACAGTTAATCGAAAGGAGCAGCTCTGCTTGGATTTTAGCGATGAAAATCAAGCTGACGAAAGCTCCAAGACAAAACAATGGTGCGATGGTGAAGGATAGCAAAAGAAGCTTCCTCTCACTTGCCTCATTGAAAACCCAAAAGCTCTTAAGCTACTTTCATCGGCCAGATAAGCTTCGCAACTGTACTCCAATTTGGTGATAATCGAATCAGAATTTTTCTTCAAACGTCATGACTGCTGATAAAGTGAAACTGCTAAACAGGACTACTCAAATTTACACCAAGTGTCACCACAAATCATGGACCTAGTCGGGCTTTCTCGCGCTTGCACCACTGCCATCATTCCTAGGCGTCGTTCTCGATTTTCCAGTGCATGTGAGGATATTTCATTTTCTCGCAATCACACCAAAAACTTTGAGAACACCGCGGTTTACGGACTACTCTGATTTCCTCAATGGTCCTGCCGCGATGGCTAGCGCACAGACGATCATGAATACCCTACTCCCGCCCTTCAAAAAGGCAATGCCGAAATCGAGAAAATAGGCCGGAATACAGTGCATTGAAATGCCGGACAGCCATAGAAGCTATCTCACTGTCTGACCTAACCATGAACGTCCCATAATGTGTGCATATTTGCCACGTCGACACCGACTTCATAGCTGCAGTGTTTATCAGACTGTAGCAAATGGTCAGCAACCTTTTATTTCAGGGCGGTTTCGGACAAATTTGAAAGTGCTCAAGCTAAGAGAATCGAGGCAGGCCCGAAGAACTCCCTTTGGCCTAATGAAAGTGCTAAGCATCGAAACACTGCAGTACATTGCAAAGCTTCTTGATACCGCGTGCTTTTGGAAGAAATTTCGAACCCTCACACTTTGTTTGCCAGTTAGAGCGCGAGGGCCCATATGTTGACTGCAGTCTGCGGAGATGAAACTGGTCAGCACAAGGTGTGGTAATGAGACTCCCGTTTGCTCTTCTAACTACCTAGCACAAGTCTCCCTCAAAATCAGGTGATAAGTTTTTCTTTTTGAACTGCTACTTAGCCTTATTACCCTTTACCAAAGCTCCCCGCGGACGGCCAAGCCTCAAGTGTGAGCCTCCGGTCTGAATGTGTTAACATTTTAGAGTAAGAGGCCTGGGACAGCACCCTACTAACCCCCTTAAATGCAGGAAGGAAATCTGCGCCCGTACCACTTGGTTTGTTTAACGCAAATTCAGTCCATTAAGTTAGTTGGTGATAGGGTCTTATGCGTAGGTGGGCACGCCGCATTTTTGAACAGAAATGTATGTCAGTGGGACTGCTGCTCGCTACTATACTGTCACGAGAATTGGGGAGTTCGTGAGCCAGGGGGAGTGTAGCCAATCTAGGGGGTGGGGGGTGAGGGCAGTCACTTGACATGCTTGTGGATAGCACCGAACTGATCGAATAACTGGCTGAAGCTGGAGCGTTCCATGGAATTATCGACCCATACTTTTTCAATCGATATCTCCACGTCATAACACGAACCAAACGATCAATTTCGCTTCCTAATTAGAAATCTAGGTCAGTGACCTATTAACCAAGGCTTCAAGGTTGCAACAACACCAACCGTACCTGCTTCTTTCCAAACAGCCGATTGAAAAGTGAGGAGATGGTTAACCCCATGATGAGTTGCAGTCACCTGTAGATGGAAAAGAATCAATTCTGTTGAATTGGACAATGACGCCACGACAATGCGTACAATCACGAACGTGCGAAACGTAGAAATCGAACGATCTACACGACAGTCAATAAATCAATGACGACCACATGAACAGCCGCTTATCAGCTGACAAAATGCTTATCTGACAGATGTATGGAGATGGCCGCATATCGAGGATGATGATGCATGGAATGCCTGGAAAGCGACGACTCAACACGTGTATGTTCGATCGCAATCGGTCGCGATAGGACCGACTGGTGGAAGTCACTAGGCGGTCCTTTAAAATCGTCTTCATCGTTCCCCTCTGATGCTGATTGCGACAAGTTTTTGCGAATGTTACATACAGATTCGTGATAGTAGTTTCGAATGAAAACGTGGCAGCGTTTCAGCCCGAAAATCCAAATAGAATCTTCGTCATAATGTGGGAAGCGAACGTGTACTACTGACGACAGCCTAACACCGTCCGCCATTGAGAGTTAGATGAACAGTTGCGGTAAAAACAAAACAAGTTGCCAGGGACAGCATCGATCAGGCAGCAAGCACTGCGAGTATCGATTTGTAACGAGAAGTGCGGAGAAAACCGCTGGCTGTTGTCAAAATGCGCCCGAGATTTTCGCGACAGGTCACCATTTCCCTGGTTACCGTAATCTCCTTACTGGTGACGGTATCTCGGAACCCGTTGGCTGCGTTCGTTCTCAAAGTTTGAGAGACCGAGAGGGTGGAGATGAGTAAAGACATGTATAGGTTGAGAGAGGATATACCGAATACTCAAGGGAGGGGGGAGGGTGGATATTTGGTACAGTTCGCGGCACCTACAGTAATCCCAAATTTTAGTGAAAGCTTCCTGGGTGGGTAAGCTATTTTGCTTTCCACATTTGCACCCACTTCGGAGCCTCTATTACTATAGATAGGATACCGTAGGTGGTATGAACTATTACACTAAATACACCTTTATCACATAGACCCTGGGGAGTGAAGATCACAAGAGCGTTCGCGTTATTAATTGATTTCATCGTTTCACTTGGCGACTCTAAGGGCCTAATCCGCGCAACATACGCCTCGAATCACTCACTTAAACTCCGACACTACTTCGTAAGACACGTGAGCTACAAGCATGCCTTAAAGCGCAGCAGTTTACGATGAAAAGCCAGCCCATTATAAAAATGTAGAGGTAGTTGGTCAGCGATGCAGGGATGAAGTGAAACAAGAAAACGGCCATGAACAGAAATTGGAACCTTTCCTTGCCCATTGCTTTCGCATAGATGAGCATCGGTCACTGCCCGTCTCGCTACGAGCGACTAGAGTCAGACGGCGAGAGGTCAACCAATCGGTGAAAGTGCAGCGACGCGAGCGCGTGGGCACGGCCCTTTTAGGCCTCTGGGGGTATACCCTTTGCTGCGAAACGCGTATCGTACTGTGGAAGAGGGGGGCGGGGGCGGGGCGGCGGGGAGAGGCGCTTGCCTTTCCACTTTTCCGACTCCGCCGGGCGCTGTCCAGCAATTTTCTTTCGAAACAGCAACACGATGCCTGGGGCGGAGCGATACCGATCCATGTCGTGGCGTGACGAGTGGAAAGGAGTTGGGAGGTGCTCCCAACCGTACTCCAGGGCTGAGTGGCTGTATACCAGTCCAAGACGTCCAAACTTCTCCACCCTTGGCTCATCGTGTACACTGTCTTCAAAACCATCCAGTTTCCAAGTAGGAGGCGCTGCGTGAAAAATTTCGTAGGAATTTTGAGATGTCCCACCTGAGCTTCGAAAATACTATTTCCGGACTCTCGAAAAATTGCAATGCCCAAGCAGACTCTTTACAACCCTATCTAGAGAAGACCAGCTCCAAGGAGCCACAAACAGAATTCTCCCATTGAAATTTGCTCAACGGATGTTGATGCGCCTGCTGGGAAAGCAGACGGTAGGGTGCTTCATCGGAAATGCATGGGACATGAGAGCGCATCCCCAGATGGCTTTCTCAGCTTGTCATCGCAACTTCTGGCCATGGACTACAATGCGGAACCTACCGCAGGTTAGTGTTCGTCGCTCGAATCATTGGAGCAGTAGTCTTCTTGTGACCCGCCATTCTGTGATTGCCATGTAATCAGAATTTTTGAGCAGTCTTCCCTTTGAAACAAGTTAAATCATTCTGCGATGTTTGAGAGGGAAATCCGTCGCGCTCACATTTATCGATTAATCGCATATTGTGCATGTGAGTGAGACGCAGAAAAGTGACTCTGATTCTTTAGCAGTCAACGGATTCTTTTAAGTGACTGCACCAAAGAAATTTTTCTAAGAAACACGCAGAAACCCTTTTAGAAAAAAAAAAGATTAAGATCAATATGGAAGAATTGCCATTGCAGATGGAGTCAATCGACGTGGGGTGCAGCCGTCACAGAATTCCACCTACCTGGCTTCGGACACGAATTTCCTTCGAGCCGCCGAAATAATGACGACGTACGCTTACGGGGAGACGTCGCACGATGACAAGGAAATCCAGGTGGGTGCCGTTGCTGGGCACAGATGGCCAGGCGAAAGACCACGTAATGATTGATAAAAGTCCCTTGAAAAGTGTTAGATTCGCCATAATTTTGAGGATCCCTTTGGGCATTAATTTTGTTCGGAAACCGTTATCGACTATGAAGGTTGCTATTTCAATGATTGCTGATACAAAAAGCGCCCGTCTGGCATTGCCGCGCGCGTATGCGTTGCGACATTAGGACCAGTTCCCAGTTTGTTGTTTGTTTGTTAATCTCCTGTCGAAAAAAAGACGCTCCTATAAAGGCAATACATAGAAAGAGAATAGCTGTGTACTGGAGCTTGCCCCTCAGTACCAGCACGCAACCGCGCGCGGCTGTACATCTCACGAACCGTCGGTCTTACCATTTGAATCCAGTCAGTGCTGGCTGACAAGCCCTTCTCCAGCTTGAAAATTTGAAATTCAAAGCTTGCTTCATTCCAGTGTGATCTGATCACTGAAGATGGCGGTCATGAAATCGATCCAATGCGACTGAGTTACAAGTAGGCTTTAATTAATATTGAATAGTAAAATATGTTCAAATTATTGTATAACTAAACCTTTACCTTGATCACCTCAATTTTCACCTTTCTTGTCAAAAACGAGTTTTTTTGGCGGCTTAATTTCCACCTTTCTTGTCGAAAAACGAGAATTTTTGGCGGCTTTATGTTGTGTTGAATCCACATTTGGATGCGCCGTGCTTTCGACACCTGCCCGGAGTTGTTGAATTTTGGCTTAGCGGGTTTAGGTTGTGAATCACAGTATTTTCGAGCCTCCCACTGGTTTTTGTTACCCATTTTCTGGTCAGGCATTTCTTCGATTCAGCATCACTTGTGCAGTGGCTAGAAATACTGCTTACCGTCTATACGGCCAGCATAGATTATTGTAACCGAGGCTACTCAATCCATATCTGGGTAGTTGGAATCAATAGACGTTTCCCGATGAAAAACCTGAGCCCAAAAAACCTAAGATTCACTCAGGAGATGCATATGTGTAAGCAATCTGCTCATTCAATTGCTTTCTCGATCTCGGACAAAGGCTCGACTGCACGGCGCAATACGAGACTATCGACATAGGCCTTTCCTTTAGCAAACGATTAAATTGTTTGAAAATATAGCAAAAATATCAATCGAACTCCTTTAAGAGAACGCATAGCTTGGCATTTGAAAGAGTTCTGCTATAAGACATCAAGTCACGGTATTCCAATGCTGGGACAAGCACCGAACATGGCCTACAGGTCTGTTTCACTTAATCGATTTTATTGATTGCCACGCATGATGAAAATACTGTAGTTTTTTAGAGTCTCCTGGATTATTTTGTTGTCTGGATGTGCTCTCGCTTTCGTGTACCAGGCGATTGCCGTGGTTGATAAGTACTACCGAATGGATAAAATCACTGACATTCAGCTTAAATTCGATACAGGTAATGGGTTGTTTACGGTGAAAACGATGAGCGTCAATGATTGAAATGAGGCGCGGCAAGTTTCACAAACGCTGCCGCGCGCGGCTGCGTCGCGGTCCTATCATAAGCGTAGTACAGCCGTTATTCTTTTTGCTTTTGAAGGACACATTCTATCTGTCTTGTTAAATTAGCTGCAGGTTAACTAAACATGAAATGCCAGCCTGATACTGCAAATGGTTGATGCACTGTGAATGACTAATGAGTACGTCGCACAGCGACAAGCGTCGACTCACAGATTATGACGCGACGCAACCGCACGCGGCCCGTTGCGTTTTTTCTCGCAAGCGCTCGTGAAAGCATAAACAATATCTGGACAATCCAACGAATTCATTTCAGCACCGTTTCCTGCGATTACTTTGTGCAATCTCAATCCATATAAGGACAGCACAATACGTGACGAGGAGAGCGTCAAAAAAATTGTGAAGTAATACTTCAACTGAATATGATAGCTCAAGCACCTTATACCTCGCTGACTTGAAATTCACCTCCCGCGACTAATTAATTCAAGAAAACCTGCTTTTCCTCGTCTTGGAAGCTTGGCTTAGTGGTTTGAAGTTCCCAATCGAACTGCTCCGATTTCACGCATCCATTTCTTAGGGTCCCGCGAAACCAACCCTCTAGAGTGTGGCGAAGGGGGGGTGCGGAGCGAATAAGAGGCTGAAAAAATTTGAAAGGGCAGATCTTCTTCACTGCCTCATTCATCCACATTCGACGCAGAATCTTGCTTCTTTTAAACAATGGGTTTCGCTCATCGACCTCAAAGACAGTGAACACTACTGCTGAAGGGCGGAGCTGCCATGATGTCACTGAATGTCACTTGTTGGGCCATACCGACCTGGGGCGGTATTCAATCCTTCCCCCAGGGGGATATATCCCCCTCCTCTGATTCAATCCTCTGGGGGGACAAAAAAGGGTTGCGTCATAGGACCTAGCATACCTCTGTGTTTCTACCTGCCAGACAGTTAGAGCAGCGCTACTACCCTCCACTGATGAAGCACTCTTTTCCCTGAGGGGTCGCGCTGCTCTAACTGTCTGGCAGGTAGAAACACAGAGGTATGCTAGGTCCTATGACGCAACCCTTTTTTGTCCCCCCCCCCCAGACGCCGTTAAGTTTCTTTAGAAGCCTCCTTTTTAGAAGATTCCCACGAAATATCCAATAGGAATCCAGACGATTCTATCCGACAACGATCACCATGGAAGTTTCCCATTTCGATTCGCAAAGTTCACAAAACCTGAACTAAATCTGAGCCCCCAGATGGCTCCGCTTAAGGATACCGCAATATAATAAGTTCACTTTCAGCTGGAAGTGTTCGCGAAAATAATGAAAAAAGCAGGAACCAGTGGCGATTCGCTCCAAGAGCTGGAGGAGGTCGTCGAAACGGCCAGGACAGTTCTTCCTCTTGACGGTTCAAGGAAAAGAAGAGACAAGGCAGAGCAAAGATGCTTTCGAAACCGCGTAGTTTCACTCCGGCTTATTGGGGAGATTGTCCAGCGAAATTCATCAATACATGTTTCAAGGCAAATTCGGTATGTGTATGCGAAGACGACGAGTGCGAGGCGGACGCTCCAAAGGTACGCGCAGTTACACATTTGAGGGTAGGCGTTATCCGTCTGGGGGGGGCGGGGGAGGGACAGTTGAACGACGCAAATTTCCCGTTCTACAGGGAATCCATATCGCCTGCCTGCTGCCAGTAACTGCAGGCCTTGAATGACTAGACTCTTCGAGGTCGAATAAATGCATATGCATTTTGCCATGGTTTAGCTGATCTTTTTGAACGCACAACATGGCACGGTTACGTAGGCGTGCGGTTGCGAACGGTTGTTGCAGGCGTCTGCTCATACCAAAGCTTGGAACTGTATCAGCAGAGCGCGTGTTTTGCCATTCGGTGAAAGCATGGCCGGAGGTGTGGAGCGGGAGCACGCTCCTTAGCTGCTTAGCACGTGCACGCTCTGGAGTTCAAATTTCGTATCGATCTTCGCCCTGGTAGACTATGTTACCCATTCCTCGAGGTCGGTAGACTCGTCTGAAGTATACAAAAACACATTGTATCGGGCTAGCTTTTTTGTGTACACCAAATCAAATTCAAATGAGACTCCAAATCCAAATAGAAGTCGAAGGCATGGCGCACCCCAAAAAGTGGATTGACGCTGTATGCCTCACGCTCCTCGTGCATCCACCTCAGCTCCTCGTTGGTAAGACTATTGGACATATTTAACACGTTGACGACATTGTGCAGCGCATGCGCATCACACCTTGAGCACCGTGTGGGACCGTGTGCAGCGCATGCGCTGCACACACAAAATATTTATTTTTTTCGCGCATGCGCTACTTCTTTTCTAATTTTTTGCATCTATTCCATAGACTACACCATAATATGACTAGACACGGCGAGGTTCATTGAATGGTTGAATATGCTCCTTTTTAGCGAAGGTTTTCTAAGCCCTACGAATTTCCCAATTGTGTTCATTCCTAGTTTCCTTTATATTCTGATAATCTTGGTCATAAAAAAGAGCAGTAGAAGTAAGTACAGACCCACACATATAGCAAGACATATGTTTTTAGTGGAGCAACCGCGTCAAAAATAATTTTGAGGTTCACTGCAGCAAAAGCAACTGAAACTTGCCTTTCATCGCCAGAAAACGTCAATTCGATCGATTTTTTACAGTTGTCCCTTCTGATAAGTTTGACACATCGAATATCATTCTAAACATTTTGTTGCATCCGAGTTTTGGGTATTTAAAGCTCAAAATTCACGGATTTGATGTGAGGCGGCGGCGCCTGCAAAATCGCCGTGGTCCCACGCGGCGCAAAAACCCAAAACGCGCGTTGTCGTCAACGTGTTAAATGCAAGCCCTGACCGAAACTGCCTCTGCATATATTTGTGACAGTTATCCTCTAATTCAGACGGAAAAAGGTTCCTAACGCATTTTTCAGGTACCCACTGAATCAGACGGCATGTGCATCTGCGCGTTCGACAGACTGACTCAAGATGCGTGGCCGTGCCACCCTAAGGTACAACTGTTCCGTTCTGGTAGTTATATGGGTCTGTGACGCGTGCGTTTGCGACGCGTCACGGCCTATGGATCAACAGTGTGTACAGATCATTGCCGACCTTGGTAAATTATTCTGTAATGCTACACAATCTGGCTATCCCAAGTCGTGGATGGAGAGAGCAGTAATCCATAATAGCCTGTGGAACGCTTCGCGCCCGCACGGCATCCCATCCCTACATGACTTACTATAATTTACTGTTCAGGCAATTTGGCAAAATACCACGTGCCAATTTTGCGACGATCACATGTTCTGTCAGAAGTACTCGAAGAACGGTGAACGACAGAATGAGCCGTGCCTCTGCGGAAATGGCGAGGCATTCTGCATGATAGATCGGGTAGCGAGTGTCAGACTATAAACGGACCACGACGAATTGGCGTGTCATAATTGCAGATGGCAAAGCTGTTGAACCTGTGGGAATTCTTCGGTGAGCTATCGAAGGTCACGGATGTCACCGACGACGAGATCGAAGCGCTGGGGTTTGGGGTAAGTTCCAGGATCTTTACGTTGAAAACTTACCCAATGGCCTGGCCCATGGCGAGTGGAACTTGAAATTTCCTTTGCAGAACATGACCGATGAAGTTGCCATTGTGACCAAAGCTAAGGAGAACATCATATTTGCAATGAGTGCGGTCAGCGAACAACAAAGGTACGTATCATTTAGCTAGCTGCATTGTCGTAGGTATGAGTCAGGACATGAGGATTGCGGCGTCGCGGCGTGATTTTCACGAGCAGCTGCTACGCGCCGGAGCCGACGAGTCAACAGGCACTGCCCTGCGGCCGCCCCGGCACGCGATGATTGCTAGCATATTTCCAGGTCAGCCGTATGCAACACTTCCTTGGCCAGGAAAAGGTGCTAGCTTCTGTCTTTTGGAACCCTATCGTCACCCATAGGAATTCATTCGGGGTCCCCCACCGGGATGCGCTACATAAGGTCTGGAGCGCTCATGTCTTTAGGAGGAGGGGACATTCAAAGCAGGGCCGATGGTAGGTGAGACTAGGACTAAGCCCAGCAAAGGTTAGAAACGCTAGGGAGAACATAAATCGTTCACATGCTCCCTCAGGATCCCTTCCTATCCCTAGGGCTTAGTCTCAAGCACAGCGACTGGCTCACTCACATGGATGCGCCCCCCCCAAGGGCATGAGTGCTGGTCTCAAGGACTGCAGCAATGTTGTAGACGCTTCAAAATTCATAACGAATTTTGTGTTTTTATAAGAGTTAAATATAAACGGACAATTTCAGGAGGGATATGTCACAGGCGAAACACAATCTCATCCATAAGTGCTCATTCAATGGAAAACCATGCGATATCGACAGGTATCTCTGCCACGGCGATCTACCTTATACGACTGTTATCGATCAAATTTTACGTTACAGAAGTGAACTTAAAGGTTCTGGTGACGATGGTTGGAGGGCGGTGCGGTTTTGATGACGTCATTGAGCGTCATTGCTGGAAGAGCGTTCAGAGCGGTTCCAACCACACTACCACCGCGATAAGGGGTCTATCCACTGATGGCGTTCATACGTCATCAAAATCGCACCGCCTTTCCGTGATCCCTGCCTCGAAAAGGGAGGAGGTTCCACAGAGGTGTCAGAAAGTCGTGTAAATTTGGCGGGCAGTTTTTCAGTCAAAAAGGAAAGAACGAGGGGGGTCTATCCTGAGACAGAGGAGCGAGCTAATACAATAAGAAACTATTAAATTTGCACTGAGAGAAGACGTTTGGGAGTACACAATGTCGTGGTAACTAGGACTTACTGGAGCCTTTCCAGAGACTTCACCATTATTGCCTCTTGTCAAATTTTCGGACAAAATAGCACTTTAATTCAACCTCATCCCGTGCCTTTAAGTGACTCAAACGCTTGCTTTCCAAGAACCCCTCGAACTCCATCGAAGAGAGCGCGAACAAATCGCCGGTGAAGAATTTGAACAAGCTTCACGGATGTACCAATCGCTGAGCCATCTAAAAATTGACGACTTGTAGAAATACCTTTCGATTTTGATCTATGGTTCTCACAGCTTGTGTGTTTAGCCAGGTCTTACCTATTACAATGCACTTCGTAACGAATTCATCAAGAATCTCCCCCTCCTATGGAAATGGATAGGCCATGCGCTCTCTTGCAAATATGTATTTGGCCAGCACAATAATTGGCGAAGTATGCCCTGTGTTCTGGTTGGTCTGAGTTGTGGCACACCTTGCAACTCATGGAGAGTTCCTCGGAGAAAGGTCGATCTGACAGGTTAAGGAGCGTTCATAGTTAGCGATTGTACGTGCGATCGGGCGATCAGGCAATTACGCGGGAAGACCACGTGCGTATTGATTGGTTTACTCGCCCATACGGCGTTGTAGGCGAGTAGGCGATCGCTCTGCGGGCGGAGCAACAAATCAATACATATCCTTCCTTTATCGCCTACTCGCCTACTCGCCTAATCGCCTAATCGCACGTACGATCGCCAAC